CATTTGAATTATTGTTGAATGCAAAAGCATAACTCATATCTTGAACGCGTGACACATTCCAGCAGTTCAAGGGAAGACTGTATGGGCAGGAGCCCTCAAGACAGTTTGAGATCATCTGTTGGAAGTCATCACCGGACTCAGTCACGATGGGACGGGTACTTTCCGAGCAAGCATCGTCGCAGTCGTTAGCCGTAAGCTCTCGATTTCTTTTCTTATCCACAGAAGAAACCATCCTTTTCATGGGAGGGGAGTACAAATTTCTGTTGCCCTGCATTAAGTGGTCAACAGCGGGTGTTCCGTGACGACCGTTTCCAAAACGAGTTYGGCTTCGATCAGGATCTCCATTGGCGAAGGGTGCGCCTAAAATAGCTAGGACGGAAAGTAGTACAGCTCTRGATCGCATCATTTCTTCACACGATAAAATTTTTATGATCAACTGTGGTATGGTTTCCAAATCGCAAATAAAAGAGGAGGTTAGAGAAACATTGGTAGAATTAAAAAAAAGCGCGAGATCAATTCTATCGGAAGGAGACGTCTGATAGCTCAACTGTAGTGGTAGTAGGTACTATTGCTCTTTGGGGTTCTGGAGCGGCCAATAATCGCTATCTAAATCGATGTTGGTAGGATTTCTCGATCGAGTCGAATAGTAGCTGCGTTGTTTCCGCTGAATCGAATCGGAGGGCTTCGAGCTCTTGGTGCTTAGCCATAACTTATGGCTCTACGAACACGAGGAATTTGATTGCGGGTGGTGTTGATCCGTAGAAATTTGAGTGAACCGTRGCTCTACCTTCGGATTTATTCTCCACGTCTCGGCCTAGACGGAGATGCATGCGTTGCTCGAGAAATAAGTGAGTTGGATAGCAGTTGGAATCACGTTTCTCCTGTTCTTGAACTTTCTTGAAGGGCTCGGATTGTATCACAGATTGATGTCTATTTCTCGGCGGTTCGAATCATGTTTAATGATACAGATGCTACGGTGCACCGTCAACCACCTAAGTTCYTGTTCGGTTATCGCTAGCGTTCCTTGATAGGCTTGATTCGAATTGGATAGAGCTATTCGAGGGCATCTTCTTGCATCACAACAATTGACTTGGTAAAGGGACTCGAGCAATCGACTGCATCCCATCATATCAACAATATGATTCTAATACTCGGTGGTAACATTAGCCAACAGCGACTTACCTATTTCAATACTGTAACTCTGAGTGTCGTCGGTGCGGWATTGTGAGACAAGGCTCGAGAGGAAAGAAAAATACTCAACTACGTGTGGTAACGTGTTGAAAAAAWTTGCAAAATAGCACAAAACATTTTTCGGATCTTTGGCTCTTGATGGAGTGATGTTGATGTTTCTCTGATCATTAACCCATATTTTGAATGACTCGTGTTTGTTAAAGCAGAAGGTCATTGCTCGAAACTTCTTTGTCAATGTCAATTGAATTGTGATGTTGTCAGGCCATGCGAAAGTTGAAGTTTATTTTGAAAATATTAAGATCACGTACAAATTAAGTAACGAGCAGTGCGTTGTTAATCAGTAGGTCATTCAAGCATACATTGACATATGTCTTTTTCGGACCGGCCGGCTCTTTTTATGTATCCCCGTCCGACAATGACCGTCCGGTGATCCTGTCTACATATGATATTCCCCTTACTTACTGAACACTCATTAAATATTACTGTATGTTTTTTGGAACCATTCAATAGAGCCTTTAATTGATCATTCACCAAGTTGTTATTATTTTCATATTTTTTGTATCATGGTACAATACGGTACTGTAAAGGAGTCATCGGATTGAAGGTACAGAACCAATTACAGTACCTCGATAAAATTGTAATCCTGGTAATACTGTAATTCGAAAAGAATCCTCAAAGATTCAAACATAACGACTCATCKTACGGTATGACCTTYATTTATCTTTTCGAGTAATGGTAAGGGACATCCTCATGGTACGAAGTCCACCTTCCTTGGAGTTGATATTTACATGCGGAAYTGGTAAATTTAAGACGAGAGATGAGTTTCACTGACTCCTTAGCTATTGTTGAATTTTTTACAATTAAAAAAAACAGTTGCACTTCAAGACGAGCAATCGGTTCTACTTCTTCATCTGGTAACATAGGGTAGCAACTGATATCATAATAATTGATTCAACCACTAATCCATAACCTCATCATACGAACATTCATCCTTCAGACTTCGTAGCTAGTTATAATCAGGCAAATACGTTCGGAGCGATAGCTTGTTTCACGATTCATGCCTATCGTTTTTCGGTATAATAACTGATATTGTCGTTCCTTCTCGGCTCCCACTAGTACTGGTGCAGTTGCTCACGGTCATCATGCTGTCACTGTTCCTTTTCCATTAGCTCTTTTCTTGCTGTTTTCTTTGCCTTTGCATTACTTTTGATGGTCTGCACGGTTTCAAAATGATACAGCTATTATCCACGCGGATATATTGGCAAGGAACTTTCGCACAYCCCMTTGTTCAGAATGGGCGACKMATATAAATAAAATTGGCATACTATTTGCCGTTGCTTCGTTCATCCCGTCATTTGGAATCGATYGAGAATGTGCGTAAGACAACTGGCAAACGAGCTTTATGGATATCTATCGCTATCCAGAAATRCACAAATTAAYAACAATATTAATAATTAAAATACTAMTGTAACAATATGATTTGTCAATTATTGACATGTTSCCCCCAGWACTATTCCCCTACCAATCTCTTACTCACTTGATCACTGATCCGTTGATCCACCGATACAACTATACGGTTCAAYACGAAACATTCYGTTTAGTTCCTTTCCATACCGCCGAGAACTCYYTCCATCGTCGCCGCCAATATCTCCCCGGTTGCMGTGCAYYATYGCAGAATCCTATTTTTTTCTCGATCCAAGTTCCCGTATACGACCGTTCCCTGCCCTTTCCTGGCAGGGCTCACGGAGGCGGCTTYCGCGGAATCTTGGCGTTGGTTCCCGCGTTCACCCCCGCCAGGCCGTGGGCCCCCACCGCGGCCGCCCTTCTCCGGACCTTGTTCTTCCACACACTCACCGACGAGAGCGYCCCGGTCCGGCCCCGGAGCGGGGCCATGCCCCTCTCGCGCCTCCAGGAGGGGAGGCCCTCCGCGAGGTCGGTCGTCCTGGCGAGGAGGAGCTGGGCGGCGGTGGTGACGCCGATCGAGGCCAGGTAGGACCGGACGGGCTTCGACAGGGCCAMAACCAGCGGATCGGCCGTGGAATCGGAGCGGGGGACCCCCCGGGCCGCGTCCTGCTTCCCCCCGGCCCGTCGTTTCGCGTCTTTCGTGCTTCCTTCCGTCGGCGGGAGTCGCTCCTGGTCTCGCGGCGAACCGGCCGCGGGGGCTTCGGCCGGTGCGGMTGCCGCAYTGGYCTCGAAGGCGTGCCCTTCGGCCTCCCTTTCTTCGTCGCCCGGGGGCCGCCGCGGGGYCCGGAGGCTTCCGCTGCAACCGGTGCCGGCATTGGTGGGAGGTGCTTCGCCCGCTAGCGTCGGAAACGCCGCCGGAGGGGGAACGACCGCGGATGCGGGAAAACCATTGTTGTGCTGTTCCGCCGCCGGTCCCATCGTATTCTGCTCCGTAGTGCGTYGCGGTGTGTTGCGTCTTGCGGGAGAAACGAAACGATCGGAACGAACCGAACGAACAATGCTTTGYTTGTTGGAATGAACCAGAATGCTGTTGAATTCTTTCGGGTCTTTGCACTCTGCTGCCGATGTCCTTCGTTGCGATACGAACGCTATCTAGMAAGGTCGCTCCATTCCATTCCTTTGTTGTACAACAATAGAAAAGGCCTTATCGAAAGGCTTCCGTGGTAGGTTTCTTCTGTCCCCGACAGGTGCACTTCGATCGTGGACGGTTTGATTGTGAAGTTTCTGTTCCTTCCCAACATACCGTAACGCACACTTCTTGGTACCATACGTGCTCGTACTGTTTCTTGTAGTACACAATGCGAATCTCGTTCAACACGTCCACGTAGTCGTAGGTCTAACGTAGTMTTGTACTACACTTCGCGGAATGTGAAGCACTTCACAATTCACGTCCAAGGTTCGTACTTGTACCGGTACGTCTCTTGTCGTACGGTACGATACTTTGCAGAAGTACTTTCCAACTCCCGTCACGGTAGGTATCGGTATGTACTCGCGTACCCGTACGCTACATACCTGGTACTTGACGTTCTCCTCAGGCTGTATCGTAAGGTACCAAAAATAGAAACAACAAACAGAACCCTCCCCGTTTTCTTTGCAAATGCGCATGGGCGCGCACAACCAACACCGCATATATGTGCCTTGCCTTCCTCCCCTTCCAATACGATTTAGCGACTATGTACGGTACTCCGACCTGGCTTTTTGGTGTCCCCCGGGAATCGCCAATGACGGTGACACCTACCGGGGTTCCGTTTCGAAATTTTGACTCTCTCGAACGGATTGTTTTCATGTGACACGAACGAATGAACGAATCGAATCGTTTGCCATCAACCCTAGCTCGTGCGGCACCGAGAMACCACCACCATCGGCAAAAGTCAATTGCTTCGCTGGCGCTAAATTGTGACAAAATACCTACAGTACTTCGTAGCTCTTATTCAGACTTGAGTTACAACAGTAATATCCTTATGTTTACATCCTATTAGAACGCTGTGTTSGGTGTTTGGTTCGGGTGGATCGATCGACAATGGTATTGCACCCTTTGTAACAAAACACTGAACACAGACGCGTTTGTCAATCCGTACTATAATTATCGTTTTCAACATTGTCTTCGTCGTTGCTGATACCACTCATCGTGCCCAATACAATTGATTCCACTCAGTCTCTAATCCATTTTCGATTCGGCGCCATCGAAAAAAAGCAATCCGAGCTGCTATATATCTTTTTCCCATTCGTTCTTGGGGTTGGTGGCTCACCATTCTTATTCCATCGAGGCATCGGCACAGATACGAGCACACCGCAAATCGCATGCAACGGAACCACACATCCAAGCCCCTGGTATATAATATGCCGCTGTGGTTCGACCTACCTACGGGAGCGGTTGTGTTGCACTGGATTTCGTTGCGCTGCGCTGCACGGGGTTGTCCTCCGCCCCCCCCCCCCTTCCGTTCCACTAGCTGCCGTCGTTCTGCGTTGTTCTCGCGAGCCTGTCGAATCCCGGGTGTTCCTGGACCAGCCTGGCGAGGTGCCTCTGCCTCGGGTCGCGCTTTCGGTTCCTGAGGACCTTTTTCTGTTTTGCCTCGGCGGGAAAGAGCGAGGCCGCCAGCAGAGCCGCGAGGAGGAAGAGGAAGAAACTGCGGTTCGGAGCGATCATGGTTKTGGTGGTGTCTTGTCTTCTGTTGTCTTGCGTTGTGAGGAGTGGTGGTGGCGTTTRTTGAAGCGCGGCGTGGTACAAGCGACGAGATCCGACACGAGTGGTGTGTGTTTGTGTGTGCAAAAGGAAAGAAATAATAACAATGTGGGAACAATCGGATGTTTTTTAAAAAAAACAAAAAAATTGTGGAGGACTATCGCAAAAAAAACGTACGAGCACGAACTGCCAATCTCTGGTGGCGCAACGCAAAACACGGTGTGCAGAGCCCCATCCATCGGTGCGGAGTGAACACGAGTCAATCCAATTCAAAACCAGGATCATTATGGGTTGCTCGTGCCGGATCCGGCGGGTGTTTTGGTTCGAATCGAATCGAGTCAATCGAGTCAATCCTCCCTTCCTCGGATTCGGATCGGATTCATTCGAATCAAATAATCCATCGTAGAGGGACCGTCCGTGCACCCATCCGTCCGCGGGGCCTTGGTCGATCGGTTCGCGCCAAAACTCGTCGTACGAATGCATGCCAGATAGACAGAACAGACGCTCCGAGTGGGAATTTCCTTCCGGCGAGGGAAAATGACGGTCGAAGCGCGCCGGTATGGTACGTCGACGGCGGCATCGGTGCCGTATCGTCTGGTACGCTACGGGCGTGAGACTCGACTAGATGACCGTACGAGTACGGTACTACGGTAGGACTGGCATGACAAAATGATGATGAATGATTCCTTGTCGCGCCGCGAACGCAACGAGAGAGGTGCAAAAGGGATTCCCCCGAACCAGACTCTTTTACCGTATGAATCAACGAAGGACAAGACAACATAGTACGTTACCAAGTACGGTACGAGCTACGGTACTACGATACGATTGCTCGTTGCTTACCGTACGGCACTTTCCTTGTCCATTTTCAATGCATTGATTTTGYTTCCTAACGTCGGCATCCATTTCGAAGGCATCCATCTCGAAAGCATCGSTGGATACGTCCTCTCTATTTGACGAAGCGAGTCCGAAGAGAGCCGAGTTGTTAACGAAACCGATCCCAAGGCGAGAACGACTCCAATTGCATATCACACAAACGAAACAAGCACCAACACCGTCTGCGCAWCAACCTTTGACAACCTTCGCAACGGCAACCGTCGGCGACAATGGCGCCACCGAGCAGCAGCAAGAAGAAGGGCCTGAAACAGGGCAGTCTCTTTTCCTTTTTTTCCAAGTCTCCCGCACCGAAAAAGGCATCGGCATCGGCATCGGCTGCCGCTCCTGCCAATGCAAAGGCCAAGGGAAAAGGTGCTTCCGGCAAGCCCGAAAGCAGCAAGAAGCAGAACCCCACCACCACCAACAACAACAACAGCAACAGCAATGACAATGGCAAGGAACGCAAAGCAACACCGACAAGGCAGGCACCCGCCCCTCCGTCGAGAGCAGGGTCGTCCGCGCCAACACCCACGCCCACCCCGTCGTCCTTCGGGCGGGTGTCCGGGAACACGCTGTGGAGAAAACTCCGAGAGGGGTCCCGGGTGGGGATCTACTGGAAGGACGACAGGTGCTACTATCCCTGCACGGTCGAGAAGCGGGCTCCGAGCGACAAGGACGGGAAGGCCTCCTCGCGGTTCTTTGTCCGCTACGACGACGGGGAGAGCGAGTGGACGGACATGGCCACCGAGAAGCTGCGGTGGTGCGAAGACGACGACGAATTCGAGCGAGAGGAAGAGAACGAGAACGAGAACGAGGAGGAGGAAGACGTCCCGGAAGCATCCGGTGGTGCCGGCAGCGGCAGGAGAAGCAACCGCAACAATCACAGCAGCAGCAACAAGCGACGAAGAAGCATCCAGGAGAGCGACGACGACGAGGAAGAAGAAGAATGGCAGGACCCGGGAGAGGACGAAAGCGACGACGACGACGGGAGTGTCTTTGAAGCCGCCGTGGACGAGGAAGAAGACAACGAAGACGAACTGGCGGAGGAAGACAACTGGATGGTCACGGACGACGAGAACGAGAACGAGGACGAGGACCGTCCTTCCGCAAAGAAGAACAAGAGGAAGAGAAAGACCACCAAGAGCAAAGCCGGGGGCACCCTTACGGTGACCCGGCACAACGACAACTCCTCGACGCCACCGCCCTCCAAGCGGCCGAAACCGGGCACTGGCACTGGTAGCAGCGGCGGTCCTTCGGCCACCAACACCAACACCGGTAGCAACGGCAACGCCTTCAAGACCCCCCTCAAGCAATTCTCCCACACGGTGTCCCCGCAGACGGCCTCGTCCCAGAAATCAAAAACAAAGACCGCGAGGCCCGCAACCACGCCCTCTCCGTCCCACCCCCACAAAAACCTCCAGCTCTCGTCGCCGTCGCCGTCGCCGTCGCCGTCGCCCCCCACCTCCCATCGCACCGGCAACAAGCGGCTCAACCCCCACCTCCCTTCCGAGGCCCTTCCCTGCAACACCGAAAAGGGGGCCCTCAACGTCCGCGGGGCCCACGTGCACAACCACCTCGGCTTTTTGCGGGTTCCCAGGGACGCCATGGGCCGCTACMGGGACCACCCCGACTACGACTGCCGGACGCTCAGGGTGGACGAGGCCGAGTGGAAAAAGGTCACCGGGTCCGACATGACGGCGGCCGTCAAGCAGTGGTGGAAACTCAAGTCCCAGTACTTCGACACGGTGCTCCTCTTCAAGACGGGAAAGTTCTACGAGATGTTCCACACGGACGCCGACGTCGGGGTGGAGGTCCTGGGGTTCATCTACATGAAGGGCAAGTCGGCCCACTCGGGCTTYCCGGAGATTTCCTACGGGCAGTTCGCCGACAAGCTGGTCCGTGCCGGCTACAAGGTGGCGAGGGTCGAGCAGACGGAAACCCCCGACATGCTCAAGTCCCGAAAGGCCAGGACGCCGCGGTCKCAGAAAAAGCCCCAGGTCGTCAACCGGGAGGTCTGCAGCGTCATGTCGCTCGGGACCAGGACCTTCTGCGCCCTCGACGACAAGTCGGCACTGCTGGCGTCGGAGGCCAACGGAACGGCCCACGAGTCCTGCGGTCCGCTCCTGGCCATCCGGGAAACCCTCCTCGGCAGCGGTGCCGAAGGAGGAGAAACCAGCGGCGAGGGCGACAACGACGACAACGACAACAACGACAACCACGACGACGACGACAACGACGATGGGGGCGTCCGCCCCGTCTGCGAGTACGGCATCACGGTGGTGGACGCGGTCCGGGGCACCCTCACCCTGGGCATGTTTGCCGACGACGTCCTCCGCAACCGCATGCGGACCCTCCTGGCCTGCTTCGAGCCGTCCGAGATCCTCTACCAGCCCAGCGGMRAGGCCTCGGGGGAGCTCGTCTCCCTCCTCAAGGCCCACCGGGCCGGGACCCGCAAGCCCTGCCGCCTGGAGGTCGTCCGGACGGAGGAGTCCTTCCCGAAGTCGACCGCCCTCGACGAGAACCACGCCCGGGACCTRGAGCGGGGGACCGGGCCCCACCGGACCGTCCGGCCCTGGGACCCGGAGGAAACCCTCGAGGAGCTCCAYCGGAGGGCCTACTACCCCCGGGCCTCCCGGAGCAAGACAACCCCCCATGGGGGCAAACCCAGCGTGGCCCGGTGGCCCGCGGTCCTCCGCATGGTGGTCGAGGGMRGGGCCGAGCTCTGCCTCTCGAGCCTGGGGGCTGCCCTTTTCTACCTGCAGCGGAACCTCATCGACCGAGAAATCCTCAGCATGGGGATCGTCCGGGCCTACATCCCGCAGGAAAGCAAAACCATCGCCCGCAGCGAGAACAAGAGCGGAAGCGAAGCCCCGGCCGGAACGGACGGCTTTTGGTCCACGCAGCAGCAGCAGCAGCAGCAACTGCAGCAGCCGGTGGAGGTGTCCCAGGACGAGAGCGTCCTGGACGGCTTCGAGGAGAACCCTTTGTTCAAGATTCCGTCGGCAACCCGTGCCCACACACCGGATTCCGGCGCATCGGAAGAAGCAAAGGCCATTGCCCGCGCCGAGGAACAGATCACCCACATGTCCCTGGACGGGACCACCCTCCACAACCTCGAGATCCTGACCAACGCGGTCGATTTCAAGACAACCGGGAGCCTATGGAGCAAGGTCAACTCCACCAAGAGCCCCCACGGGGCRCGGATGCTCCGGGCCTGGCTCCTCCGGCCGCTCTTCCAGAAGGCCGACATCGAACGCCGGGCCGATGCCGTCCAGGAACTGGCGGGCGGSGCGGGGGCCCTGGCCCTCCGGGAGGCCCGGGCCAGCGTGCTGGGAAAGATCGGGGACCTCGACCGGCTCCTCAGCCGCGTCCACAGCATGAGCGTGGGGGTCTCGGCGGGGGAAGCCGGTGCGTCGGGCCCCGGCGGGGCCATCGAAGGGGCCGGCGAGGGCTGCGCCTCCCACGAGTACCACCCCAACGAGCGTGCCGTCCTGTACGAGGGCCCGGCCTACACCAAGCGCAAGGTGACGGACTTCAAGAACCTGCTGAAGGGCCTCCAAAAGGCCTGCCAGATCCCGGAGATCTTTGCCGACCTGGACCTCGACCCGGGCTGTCTGTTGTACAAGCTCGTCCGACAGGGCTGCGACGGCGGCCTGTTTCCGGACATGGTGGAGTCCCTGGATTGGTTCTTTGAGAACTTTGATTGCGACAAGGCCGCCAGCGGACAGTTCGTCCCCGGCCGGGGGACCGATCCCATCTACGACGAGGCCTGCGACACGATCGACCGGATCGAGGCGGACCTCGAGAGCTACAAGCAAGAAATGATCCGGGAGGAACTCACGCCGCGACACGTCGCCGGCCGGGCCTGGAAATACATCAACACCAAGCCGGACTCCAAGGACAAGTACCTCATCGAGCTCCCGGTCACCGTGAAGGTCCCCCACGACTTCCACGTCAAGGCCAAGCGGGGGTCCGGCCAGAAACAGGTCAACAAGTACCGGACCCCCTTGGTGGCAGGACTCGTGTCCGAGCTCGAGCGGGCCCTGGAGRTCCAGCAAACCCGCCGGGCCAAGGGGATGCAGATCATCTTTGCCCGGTTCGACKCCCAGCGATCCCTGTGGGCCGCGGCCGCCCACGCCACGGCGATCCTCGACGCACTCGGATCGCTGGCCGTCCTGGCGGGGAGCCAAGGCTACTCCCGGCCGGAGATCCTCTCCTGCGATGCAGGMACGCAGCCGAGCCTGAGCATCGTCCAGGGCCGGCACCCGGTGGTGGARAACACCTTCCACAGCTCGGAATTCATTCCCAACGATCTCGAGCTCGGGCCCGGGGAAACGGAGGCGGGCAAGCCGGCGCGGTTGCTCCTGCTTTCCGGTACGTCTTGTGTGGTTCTCTGTGTGTGTGCCTCGTTGCTCTGGTTCTTGTTCTCTCTCTTTCTTTGCCGATAGATGTGGRAAGCAACAACGTTTGTTTTGGGTTCTTTTGTGGTTCTGATCCTTTTTGTTTCTCGTCTCCYTCTCATCCGCACAGGTCCCAACATGGGTGGTAAATCGACCATGCTGCGCCAGACCTGTCTCATCTCGATCCTTGCCCAGATCGGGAGTTATGTACCCGCAGAGAGCTGCCAGCTGACGCCGATCGACTGCATATTTACTCGCCTCGGAGCATCGGATCGCATTCTTCTCGGCCAATCGACGTTTTTTGTGGAGGTAAGAAGAACGCCGAACCAAAATTGCGTRTTCTCTTTGACTTGGAACCTCTTTCCTGTGCGTGACCCAATTGTTCTACAAAAAACAGAGGTCTTACCAAAYATTTCTTTCCTTCTTCTCCCTCCTTCAGCTGGCGGAGACCGCAGCAGCTCTCCGAGGGGCAACAAGGAGAAGCTTGGTGATCATGGGTGAGTCGGCTTKAAAACAACCAAATTCGTTGCTTGCCGTTTCTGATGGCCTTGGCCAAATCTYACAAACTACTCCGTGCTTTTGTTTGCAGACGAACTCGGAAGGGGAACCAGCACATTCGACGGGACTGCAATTGCCAGCGCCACCGTRAAGCACCTCGTGGAACGCAGCCAATGCCTGAGTCTGTTCGCTACGCACTACCACTCTCTCTTGGACGAATGGAAGAACGCCCCTAACGTSAGACTCGGTCACATGCAATGCATCGTCGACGACGAAACCGATGCTGGTTCCTCGATCGGCAACAGCAATATTACCTTCCTTTACACACTGGGACCCGGGGCGTGTCCAAGGGTACGTTGCCATTKCATTTGCTTGCGTCGAGTTTTGGGTTGATATTGGAGATGAATTGGTGGCTCACTCACCTTTTTTGGTTTCGTCCGCTTTTCTCAGTCCTTTGGAATCAACGTCGCAAAACTAGCGGGCCTRCCAAACGAAGTCCTTGCGAACGCAAAACGGGTCAGCGCGGAGTTCGAAGAAGAGATGGCTTGTGGTGGCAGTGGGGCAGAGGCAAACTCGAACGAGGACGACGCCAAAGAAAAGATGCAGAATATTTTAAAACTAATCGCTGACGAAAATTACAGCGATCTTCTAACCCTCTGGCAGAGTGTCCAGGCAAAATCCGATTGATTCGAATAATACATCCTACACCAWGGAATCCTGATTTTTAAAAATATATTCGTTTCTCTCATCGTTGTCTGGAGTAGCGCACTCAAATACAAAGGGCTAGTGAAATAGTGCTGTATTTAAAAATGGTATTTTTAATGTTACATGATGTAAAATTATATTTTGAAGTSAATGGGATGTATTGTACGTGCACATTGCATTTTTGGCAAGGTTTCTTGCGTAGATGGAATGAGAACTGAATGGCTCTCAAAAGCAATCGAATTGAGTGCCGAGARGTGSAAAGAAAAATTTGGACGAACCGGTTCGTTTCGGTTCACTCCCTCCTCACCAACGGCTTGATACTTTGGTTTGATAGSTACGCTTGGATGGACTGGACGAAAGCCATTCGTTGTCCGATGTGCTTGGAATTGTTGGCGCAGAATAACGTTTCTTCACGGCGTTGCTCTTGCGGCGGGTTGGGGCGGTAGCTTGCTCGCTRGAAACAAACTCGGTGACCTGCATGTGCGTGYTGCCCCCGTAAATCAAGGCCTTCCACCTCTTGATGTCTTCGGCAGTCTGAGTTGGAGCAACGTAAACCATCTTTGCGCTTGGTTGGATGATRAAGTATCGATTCGATGTTGTGTTGGAAARWGSYTTGTGAGTTGTGTTGTGACTCGTTTTATGAGTGGACGATGTGACGAACTRAAAAGTTTGGATGAAACATTGCTAGTTGATGGTACTACAATGAATACYATCGACGAGACTACCAGAAGATCGAAAAATAAATATTGTCACACCCTGAACGAAGCCAAAATCAAGTGACATTTTCGAGGAGACATTATCGAACCGGGACTGGTCTAAATTTTGATGGTCATGATTCCATTCATCTATGACTTCATTACATAAAGTAATGGCAGAATTCGTGACTAACAATCATATGCCATCGTCTTGATTCCCGATGGGTCATTCCGAGATTATCAATGGTTTTTGGAATTTATGTCCATCGAATACATCGTAACTTCACTACGAGAGATCAACCATTTTTTTATCCCTCGACCAAAACGGAAGGTATTTTTGATGGCTCGATAAAAATATTTTAGTACGAAGAATCATTTTATTTTTCAGAAGTACGTAGTAGAAGTACATTATTAGTACGTACAACCGCGCCATGGCGCGTGGACAAAAAAATAAGATCCACAGTATCAAGAAAATTATTTTGAAATTGAATTGTTTTTTTATGTCAAAAGCAACATTGTTGAATCCAACAAAAATCTCAAGGTCATCTTCCTTCTCCAAGCTGGATACTTTCGAATGGTTCAATCGTGTTCATTCAGAATTTGTATGACCGCATACCGGACTAGAAAACTAAGTGCGATGTTTTCAGTTAGATTCTGATCAAGAACGATCTATCTTTAGTACGATACTGCAGGATGGATCGATCATGTTCATTCGGAACTTGCGTGAAATTTCTTTCGAAATGATTGGACCTGAATCTAAAAATGAGGTCAGAAAGTCTTGATTCATTTGATTTGTTTTTCCGAGCGCAGACTATTGTAGTAGGAAGGCCAGAGACGGCTTCGAAGCAACGCCAGAAAAGATAATTTTTTAAAAATCGCCAGCCACAATGGTATGATAGATATTGCGAACATTATCTGAAACTACAYGTATTCATCGTGTCGATCAAGTATTTTATTTTTTATTTCATAATTCTTTTTACGGGCTCGGTATCTTTCTCATGGACAGGTGTGTTGTAAATGGATCACGCATTACTGCCCGACTACAACAAACGAGTCCTACTTTTGTGACGRCATTCAGCTTTGTTCATTGAATATTTGGGATTTCAGAACACAACTTTTCTTYTCTTGTGGYAATGGTGCTGGGCGTATCCCTCTGTGTTACTTCCCAAGTCGCAACAAACGGCGGTCGTCATCGATGTCCGGAACGTTGCAGTTCCCGTCGTGGGYAACATCGAACAAGACCGAGGTGGAAAAACCCTTTTGCTTGGCAATGGCCCTGACCTCCTCCACCAGAGCATCGCTCGGATTGGGCTGGCGGGTGAAGATCCATAGACCGGAGTTGTTGATCCCGTCGCCGGTCTTGCAGCAGGGGGAATTGCCGTCGGCCCCGCAGCCGGAGTTCTCCCCTTCGACGAGGTTGCTGGGTTGTCCGCCGGAGATGAGGGCGTAGCCATCGTCTCCCTCTCTATAGTCTACGAYCCAGTAGGGGCCTGCAAAGTATTTCGGCAAAAARCAGGGTGCAACCTTGAGCTGGCTGGGAATATTGCGGTCGTAGTCGGCGCAGAGGTTCCCCCCAATSGAGTTTCCCGACTCGTTTTCGGCGTAGTTGAAGACATCGACGGTGTAGCCCCACCAGGATCGGGGTCTGAACCAACTGAAGGCTGTGTCTTCCTTGCGCTTGTACTGGGCGGTGACACATCGGTTTTGCTCGCGGCTGGTGTACGTGTTCTCGGCCTGCTGCTGGACGTACCAGGGGGCAGAGGCGTACTGATCAAGATCAAAATTTTCGACGGTTGTCACTGGAAGGCATGYCTGTGCACTGACGCTGGCTCCCGAAACAGCGAGTGCGAGAGCAGAGATTASTGGATTGGTGTATTTCATTGTGTTTGGTTTGTTATCTGCTGGATGGAATGCGTTTGTTCGCGATGCTTTTGGAATTGTGGGACAATGTGGTTTATGAACTCATCGCGAAAGAGACGACTGCTGTGGTCCCTTGCCAAGCTTTTTGCAAAGAGCCATTATTCCACTTGATSTTGTCGTGGGAGTTATTGCTACCGTTTCTATTTTGAGTTCCCTACTTGTATCGYACAACTATGCATTCTCGGTCGTGCTTTGTTCATGCGAGTTTACCACTACTGGTATTGCTGACTTCCGATCGTCAGGATTACTCGCTATTATGAGTACGTACGTACGTACGGTACCTACTGCAATCGTACCGCTAATTGAAAATTGGAAAGACCAAAATCAAACCATCATCCACGCACACACAAGCTTGTAGGCAACGTTCTCAAAACACGTCTAAGATCGATCGTGCAAAAACGAGACGACTCGTAAAATGATTTTTCTACCAGTCGTTGTTTCATGCGTACAAAGTACAGTAGGTAACGGAWCARTACGAGTACGTACGTAATTGCACGCTGSATGAAGTTGCCAGTATTTCATTGCATTTCGGGAGTGGAACGAATAACTCCAACCTTAGTAATGATATCCCCATCAAATTCTCCCCGTCCGTCCGATCATCGTGTTCTGATGGCAAAGAAAAAGCAACGCCTGAGGCAGAAGACGATGGCTGTTGTTACAATGGCAGCAGAATTTCTTGCTCCGGAATCGGGCCGACACAAAGCATGCAAGGGGTAACAGCAGCGATACAAAGAAGCAACGCAATGGGCATATCGATCCACAAAACAAGAAGCCACGTTGGCAACATTCTAGTATGGATATCAGTGGCGATTTTCTTATTCACAGCCCCCACCGCTTTTGCCGCCACCCCATCGGATCCCTCCCAAGCCTGTGATTCTGTGGCTTCGTCGTGTTCCTGCTCTGATGCACTGGACCTGCAGCGGCGGGTTGCRCGAGCGGTTAGYATCGATGACGGAGGATCGCTGACGGACGAAGGCCGCTCTCTGCGGGCTACGCTGGAGGACGTCCTTACAGAACAAGAATGCATGTTCCTGMTGGATGCGCTGCCCTCCAACGTCTTTGTGGATGCGGGTGGTTACGAGAGCACTTCCAACCAATACACCGCTTCGCGGAACGGGTATTCCGGAATTGGGCTCCGCGAACTGGCAATGGCGGTAGATCCCGGGGACCAAAGCAAGCCCGTAGTCTTTCGTTCCAAGGCCGACTACGACAGGTTTTTGGAGTTCCGGGAACGGGTCCGTGCCGCTACCGAGCGATCCCTGAACCTGTGCCCAGGGACCCTCAAGATTGACTACACACATATCTCGCAAAAAACACCCGGTGGGACCCACCGGCCCCACGCAGACAACTGCTTTCATTACTATCGTAGTATTTCCGGTGGAAGGGTGGCCGCAGCCGTGGACCCATCGCGGAAACACCCCTACGCCAATCGAGTCGCAGCTAGTATCCTGTATCTGAACGACGACGGATTYGATGGGGGAGAGTTTTACTGGGCGGACCGAACTTCCGAAGAGGGAACTCCCGAAACAATTGTTGCTCCCCGGAAGGGCCGGATGACCGTCTTCACCAGCGGGATCGAGAATCTGCACGGGGCCCTGCCGGTGAGAGAAGGAGCGGATCCAGAGAAACCCGCTCGTCGYCTTGCACTGGCTATGTGGTATGTTACCGRGAGCAGCTCGGAAGAATCTGTTCCGGTGTATGGGGCGGTTCCAGCTGGTAGAAACGAGGAAGAAGAGGATCCCAATCGCACGGTTCTTTTCGAAATCCCGGTCGATTCGATAAAGATCGGCAGCCTGCGTCTTGCCCTGGGCTTGTACCTGGTAGGAAAGCAGAACACTCCTGCAAAGGGMTCGTGGAGAGCAAACCAAAACAATGAAAACACGTTGCACATGATTTTCAAGGACCAGACAGCCATGGTTTCCATCGCTCTGTACAACGAGGCCATCGTTGTGAGCCGTCATACGGACGGAATCCGGAGGCCTTCGCTCCAGTACCAATTGCAGGAGTCGGTAATGCTGCATGGAATTCTCACCGAGCTCGAAACACTGGCCTATGGCATGRCAGAGGGGCAATCGAACAACGAGGAAGACCGCCTCGTTCGAATCGAGCCGGCGGCCATCGACAAGGCACGGAGCACACTGCCTACCCGGAGGTAGCCTCTCTGTGAGAAACACAACATCATCACCTTCCATCTCACTGGACCAAGCTCGCTATTTTTCCGCATTGTTTTGAAATCGAGTGCTRTAARAAGAATCAAATTCATCATTAACTCGTTCGCTATTACCGGACCGGAAGATGATCGATGCACCGCATGGCATCGTATATATCATGCGTCCAGTTTCCCCASGGGGGCTGTTTTTTTAGCAWAACATAGAACCACTCGACCACCTTAGCCATGTGTCGTTCCGTTAGGGGACCGAAATTCTGTGAAATAGTTTCCTCCACTAGGGCCCTTGCCTTTTGTGGTGGCAGTCTCCAGATTTCCGATTTCGTGTTCACCACGAAGGATCTACCCCTGCCCTTTCCTAGCAAGAGCTCCTGGACCACCGTGGGCAGCACCGCGTTAAGGTCGACGTCCAGGCAAGGCTTGTGCAGAATTCTGCTCGCTTGCCGCACCATTTTTGGAGATCTTGGCGACGACGGCTGTTCCAACCCGGGCGAGACRACGGATTCGTTGATGTACTCGGACAGTGGGATACTTCCCTTTCGGTCCCCGTCGATATCAAGTAGTTTGACACTCTGGTGGTCTCGGCTGATCAGCACGTTGCCTAGGTGATTGAAATCAAATGCGTGGACTCCCATTAGCGTGAGATCGCGGAAAGCATTTAGCAAGCTCACGAGCAATACCTTCACGCTGATGAGCGAGAAATTCTTCCTCCAATTGTCGTCTCCTACCTCTCCATTTCGGGGGGCCGGGGTTTCTYTTGACGTGTAATCTTCCATGAACCGTTTCATAGTGTAGGAAGAGAATTCTTCTTCGTACCGGGCGAGTATCGYGGCCTCGAATTTGTATTCGGTCGGCCGATAGGCGTTCGAAGACAGGGCGACTCCCAGGCCATAAAAATAGAGAACCCGTCCGTCCGAATTCAACAGGGATCGATTGGAGAGCTGCCGCAATCGTTTCCCTAGAGCGGCCTCGCTCCCCGCTTCGAGGGATGCAAGCATCTTGCTCAGGGAAAACGGACGTTTTACAGCTGCATCCCATTCTTCGTTTCCGGCATCGCTGATAGGATTGGATGCTCCGTCGATGGTTTCGTCTMCAAAGGATTTCGGCGAGGTCGATTTCAATTCTACCCTGTGAACGATGGCATTGGCCCCCATTCCCAGGATACCACCCTCTCCGGGGGCATAAAACTGTTGGGCTTCCTGGGCGCTGGTAGATATCTTCATGAATTGACGTCTGTCCCTGGGATCGTCTGAAAACGAAAAGACGATTGGTTCTTTCGAACGAAAAGCCTGCCCGTCACAGAAATCCCATGCCCTTAGATGGGTACTTGACAAAGTGTTGCTGAGTAGTGTGGAGGGAGCCCCTGGTCGCTCTCGGTGCACAAACGTCCAAGGCACCTGTATCTGGTTTGGGTCATCGATAGTCAACCCCAATGGTGYTTTTTTGTCGACATCTTTGTTGCCAACATCACCATCGTTGCCYTCGCCGTCGCAAAAGACGGAAAATATGACTAGCGCGAATCGACAACTGGAAGTCCAGTGCACGAGTTTCTTATTGTTCTTTTCGTCTTCCTCGATTTTCAGGTGAAACATCTCAGAGAGACGGTCCCACTGGACGGATCGCTCGATGGCCTCGTTCTCGAGCGGCAGATCGTACATGTCGTCTTTTCCAAAGCTTGCAAGGACTACCCACGACTTGGAGACCCTCCGGTGCTCGCTTCTCAGCAAATACTTATTGACATGATCAACTAGGCACGCTTTGATTTCGCTAATGGAGGATGGGACGGGGATAAATACTTCCATRGTACACAAACCCGGGATGAGCAGCTCTATCTCCACGCGTTGTCGTCCGTCGCTGCCGTCGCCGGGGGGTCGGTTGGATGTAGAGGTWATAGAATTCGTTCKGGAATGCTCCAGATYACCCCCTGTTACACCACTGRCTTCCAAGAGGCTGTCGACTGTATCGTAACTCAATGAGGGTCCAATCCGCTCCTCTGGGGTGTAATCCCCGTAGGCAAACATGGTCATGGAGGGATCGCTTTCGTCCATTGTATTTTGCGTCCGTCGGTAACATCTTTTCTTTTTGCCGCTGTGTCCCAAAAACCGTTCCAGTTCAAGCAGCTGCTGCTGAAATCCCTCGTTTTCGAGAACAAAGGGCCGGGTCTCGGACAAGGATCGGCACATCGAATCGAGGGTATAGTGTTTCTTTCCTCGCAAGAGCAATGTGGCTAATGCCAGCGTGGCGGAGCGGTTCTGCCCGGCAACACAAAAGAACAAGAGTTTCCCCTTCTTCCAAAGGACTTCTTCGATGTACATAGACTTCGCAACTTTTAGGTGCTGGCTCGCACAAAGGATTGAAAAGTTGTTCTCAGAGTTCGTGTCGCCCTTTGCATTTGTCGGGAGCAACCCGTGCAGGATAGGATACTTGAGATCGTCCTGCTGGACGTTCGTGAATGCGTATCGWATGCCCCTTTCCCGGAGCTCGYCCACGGGCAACCGGCTRATTCCACCGGAAGCACAATTCAATACCGCCGTAACACCTATTTCGACGAGATGATCGACGTCGCTTGCGTGGTATTTGTTCCCGATCAGGACCCCCGTGTCTTCCATCGCAACCAGATGCTTGTGGTTCTCGTTGTCTTCGATGGTATTCTTGCTTTTTGTACCACTCATCATCAATTTTGGTTCGTTTGTCTCGACKATCACCGATGCGGGGTACGGGTCGCGGAAGACCCCATCTTCACCCCGAAAGGAATCGATGGGCTTTGCGATCCATCGTCGAATTGCGGCGAATCGGCTCTCCATGGCGCAAGRACTATCAGACAAAGGAGTCGGATTCGATGACGATGATTCTTCTCCGCCCGTGCTTCCAAGACGTGCTTTCTTTTTGCTGCTCTCCCTGGTGGCCATCTCCGCCTGAGATTGATTCTCCTCCATTGTCTGTCTCTATTCTGAAAGTAACKAATAGTTGCATTCAGTAAGTTGTAAGTAGCTTCGGTTTGTCCTGACACTTAACCCAGCATCGAATCGTGGTTGCAGGTAGAGACCAAAATCTATCGAATTTTCACCGAAAAATCTTTTGTCAGAAAATTTCWAAATCTGAAAAATACTCACGAAATACTCGGGAGGATATCAACCTACCTTTCACAGTATTATGAATGTACCTTCGTATGTCCATCGTAACTGGAAAAAAAATCTAATCATACCGGTATTTTTTCTCTTTTCTACAGTAGCAATTTATTTATTATCCATAATGAGTTAAGCTTCAACATTCACAAGAAAAGTTCGAATTTCCATTGCGGCTAGAGTGATCTTGCTTTTGCTTTTGCTTTGGCTATTGCTTGTCCCACCCGCGGTTGATTCGGTTGCCATTCGTGTAGAAGGGTGTGCCATTCTTGTGGAAGATCCTTGCCAATCGAATCTATCTTTTCTCCATTTCTCTATGYTTCGATTCCCGCTGAGGGTTGTTTCTTGAACCATTATCAGCTTGCGACCGGGAAAAAGCACTGCTAGATCGACATCCACGGGCCTCGACAAATCCGRGTCTTCCCCTCGCCCGTACTGATGCCCCAAACGGACTAAAAACGTTGCGGGTTGCCCTTGTGTTGCTTCTGAATCTTCATTGTACACAATCTGCCTTGTGATCAGCATGACGTTCTTGGGTAGCGACGTTTCCAACCCAGAAAAGCTGGTCGTTCCAAATAAAACTCCCGTATCATCTACCRAAGAAGACGGTGCCGATCCCACAAAGACGAGAGGATCCGCAAAGGATGAATCCATCACCGATCGGGCCAACCGAGCTCCGCCGACACCCCCACAGGATACCTGCCTGCAGCCACCAAGGTTGTTCTCGACGACGATCCGGTGTTTTCCACGGATGACCAAGCCCCCGCCGAGGCGGGTGGCGTTTCCGTATGGCGGACAAGGTGTGATGCCCGAGCTGGTTTCGTTGATGGGTTCTCCTACGCCCCTTCCGTCGTCTGCCAGGGTTCGACGATGGACCATGAGCTCCAAAGTTCCATCCCTTATGGATCCTCCYCCCTGGCTGCGATCGGTCACGACCGCAAAGGCCGGGACGGATTTGGCTCTGTCGTTGCTCTTGCGGTGTCTCCCAGAATTCTCTTTGTYGTTTCGTACTTCATCGACATATATTGCGGTGTTCACGGGGTAGTAGTTTCCAGCAATGGGCTCGAAGACGGTRAGGTCCCATGTTGGGCGGCGGTTGCGTCGCCGCTCCATAAATTCCCTGCCGTTAGAGTCGGTATAAAAGGTGGCGTTGTTCCGGACCATGGTGTTATAGCGGGTCACCACTTCTTTGCCGCGTCCGTCTGCGATCGGTATGGGACCGACCTGGTATTCGATTTCTACCCATGGGATTCCCGTAAAAATACGGGTAATCGTTTGGATCCATGGCGTTTCGTATTCCGTGTGGACCTCCATACCAAGAGCAGTACGAACCACTGTCGCATTGACGGGAGAAACGACCTTTAGCTCTTGGTTTGGTGTGCTCGGTCGAAAGACGTACGCACCCGAATTCTGGGAGCCTTTGTCGTCTCGAAGATTTCCGTCCCTCGCCTTGTCATAGGAGGTATAATAGCCCCATGTACTCAGAGTCTCGATGTCCTGGGTTCCGATGCGACGGATGGTACCGGATTTGGAATCCAGTAGAACCGAAAATTGACCGTTGGAAATCTCCTCCAAGCCATCCTTTTKGTGTTGTTCTTGAGATTCCGTTTGTTCCGACCGATTGCCAAGTGGAATCATCTCGGAGCTTTGTTTCGTTGTGTGGTAGTTAAGTAGCCGTTGATGTTGCAAAGTCYGCTGTTGCTTTCGAATCCGGAACACCTTGGCTCCTATAGCAGGAAGATTGGCTGCTAAAAACGAGAGAACAAACGGTTTTGGTTCTTGCTCGSCGYCRCYGCCTCCGCTTTCGTTGGATTTGCGCCATGGAAGTGGTCTGGCTTCCAATGTCTCGGTCGTGCCATCTGCCAATCCCTCGACGAGGTACTTGCCACCGGACCCAACGGGGAGGTGGATCACCTCCGACCGCTCCCAWGCCAAACYGTTGTAAATTACTGCGTAGAGAACAAGGCCATTCCGAGGATTGCCGGGTCTGGTAGCCTCCACCGAAACGTCGCACCTGGTTTCGTTCAGCAACTGGCAAAAGGAAAGATTCTCCGGAAACCGCCTTCGGGTCGTCTCGTTCCAAGGAATGGGCAGCAGCAGCAACCGYTCCAGCTGGCGAATCGTGCACGGGAGGAGGCCATCGATYCCGGCCTGCAAGCGCTTCGCGTAGTCGTAGGCCACGTGCTGCTTCGAGGTTCCCGAAACCCCGTCGTGGTGCTGGAGGACCCCAGCGGCGTCTTCGAGTTTTCGAAAGCGATCGTTTCCGCAGAGCCACGACGATGSTTCTCCCGCGGTGGTGGTGTTGCARGCATCTCSGAGAGATGGGTGCAGAGCTCTGGGCCGAGCSGTCTYRCTRGTACCAACAAAMGGGTGACCAAGGATGGCAGTGCTGGATTCGATTTGCCGCACCGCCATGAGAAACGACGAGCCAACCCGTTCGAAACGCTTCAGAGCGGGGCGAGAAGCAAAATATCCGGCCCAGAAGCAGTTGGGGCAGTCGCTATAGGGRAAAAAGTCGTCGCGCTTGGTGGTCCACTCGACCAAGGGCTTTGTTGTCTGGATTCCTGGGTTCCGAGAGTCGTGTTGTTCTCGATGGTGTTCCCGGCTCCGGACCGTTTCGTTGTATTTGCACTCGGTGTAGTGCTCGGGAGACGAGTAGAACATACGGATCGCATCGTACCGCGGCCCAAAGAGAGCGGGTATGTCCAGCAGGTTCCGGCCGTTCTCGTCTTCCTGCAGGCGGGCGACGGTCCCCAGCAGCAGGTCCAGGTTGGCAAAGTGGACGGCTGCCTCCCGGTACTGGAAGTCTTCCCCCATGGTGATCATGACGTGGTCTCCCCTTGTCCGATCGCTTTGCTGCCGGATGGACAGCAGCACGTCCCGAAGGGTGGCGATGAGGTCGCGGCGGTTCCTTTCGATCAGCGGGACGTAGTCCGGTCCGCAGTCCGCGTCGAAGCAGTAGCCCCCCGGGGGTCCGTACATGCCATCGTAGGAGCCCGACAGGCCCCAAAAGACGCTCCCGTCGCYCCCGCTGTCGTTGCCACCGCCTTCCGCTTCTCTCCCGTATGCCGAGCGGGCGTTCCACAGTCCCTCGCATTCCTTTGTGGCGTGCCTCAGCTGCAGGTCCTGGTAATCGATGCGGCCAAAGTACAGGGCATCGAATCCCATCGCATAGGTCATGAGGGAGGACTGGACCGACGAGTGTCCAAAGGGGTCGAGCTGCCAGCCCACCGTGGGGACGTATCCGAAGGTTTTTTTGAGAAAGTTGTGTCCGAGCGTGGTTTGATCGATCATGCCTGTGTCGTGTTGTGTTGCGTTGCGTTGCGTTGCGTTGTGTTGTGTTGTGTTGCGTTGCGTTGTAATGGAATCAGGATGAGAGCGCAGAACGTGCGAAACGAGGAAATCCAAGCCACCGATTCCAACACGCGTGGGCATGCGCTGCCGGTCGAGCAAAAGCCGCAAATCAAAATCCATCCATCCATCCATCCATCCATCCATCGAACCCACCCACTCGCGAGCAACTCACTACTCACAACTCACTACTCACCCATGTAATGCGTCGCCGCCTCGTCGTGCATGCACCAACCCCCGTTGGCAAAGGTCAGCTGCCTCGTTTCCGAAACGAGCCTCCGCACCGTGTCCTTCGTCTCGGGGGTCTGCTCCTCCCACCACGYGGCAAAGAACTTTTGCTCTGCGTACACAAAGGTCCGGGATGGATTTTCGTCCAGGGCCTCCACTACCGAGCCCAGAACCTCGCGGACGCTGGCGAGCTGGATGGTGTTGTTGCGGCCGTAGTAGTACTGGTCGATCGTCTTGAGCCATCCGACGTCGTCGTGCGAGTGGGGGACGACGTGCACGTACAGTGTGCGTTTGTTGCGTTGGCGCCCGGGGGTGTCCGCATCGCTGCTCTTGGGTCCCTTGGTGTATGCATGGATGTTGTTGTTGTTGCTGCTGCTGCTGCTGCTGCTGCTGCTGCTGCTGCTGCGAATTCCGTTCTCTCTGTCCCCAGGATGAAAACGAGACAGCGTTGGCAGGAACCAATGGATACCACCAAGCACTGTGGCCGCAACTGCCAGCCACGGAGCTCGGACCAAAACCATGGTTCAATGGCTTTCGGCGTGTTGTCCKYTGCGATGGTCCCTAGAACTAWGTGTGTCAAGTGTCAACACAATCTCGACGGGGTGCGGGACGAAACTCCCACGAGTGCCTCCTACGAGTATATATATATACGCTACGCACGTGTACGTGCGACTTTTCACGGATTTAACTTCGAAGGGATGATGGAATGTTGACGCGCGAAATTCAAACGGCAAGATGGCGCGCCAGCCGGTTCAGAAGATCCGAAAGATCTTCTCTCGCGAAGAASGAAAAACACCGAAAAATACAGTACTGTATTTCCCTGCGTGAAACTTTGCCGTGTTGTAGAAATGGGGGCGTACAGATCCAGATTGGAACCGAGAACGAACCCATGCATCGTCGTTGCAAAAAACATCACCGGATGTTACAAGGAGCGACATAGTTGAGTTGAGCTGGGTTGAATAGCATCGCATCTCATCGCATCTCATAGCATCAAACAGCACAAACAACAACAGCCAAGCGGCGGTCTGTTGCCGAGAAACCGCGATGCTCCATAAACTGCGGCGGATTGCCCTTTGTGCCTGGTGTCTCCTCCCGCCGAGACCGGCCGTTGCAACCCCGACGCCCGGGAGTTCTTCCGGACACCACTCCCAATCCCAATCCCATTCCCCGCCGCCGCATCCGGACCACCGCATCCTGAAAGACGTGACCCGAGCCATCGGGGGGACCCCCCTCGTCGATCTGTCCCGCATTGTGGAGCGCTACGGGCTCGAGGGCCGGATCCTCGCCAAGCTCGAGTACCTGAGCCCGGGGGCCTCCAAGAAGGACCKGATCGCCCTCTCCATCCTGGAAGCGGCCAGGGAGGAGGGCCTCCTGCAGCCCGGACAGCCGGTCGTCGAGCTGACGAGCGGCAACACGGGGACGGGGCTGGCCATCGTGTGTGCGGTGTGGGGCCACCCCTTCGTGGCCGTCATGAGCCGGGGAAACTCGGAGGAACGGGCGGCCATGATGGAGGCCCTCGGGGCCACCGTGGTCCTGGTCGACCAGGCARRGGAASCGGCTTSCACCGCAACAACAACGAATGMRGCTGCTTGCAACAGAAGCACGAAAGAATCCTCTTGTTGTGGCTACGGCAGGGTCACGGGGGCCGATCTGGACAGGGTCGAGCAGCGAGCCTYTGAGCTGGCAACATCGATGGGGGCCTTTCGGGTCGATCAGTTTGTCCGTGGGGCCAACCGMGAAGCCCACTTTTCGGGGACGGGGCCCGAGCTCTGGAGGGACAGCGGGGGAATCCTCACGGACTTTGTCGATTTCGTCGGCACCGGTGGATCCTTTGGGGGCATCGCRAGCTTCCTCAAGCGGSAGAGCGGGGGAGGGGTCCGGTGCTACGTCGTCGAGCCGGAGGGCGCGGCCGTGCTTAGGGACGCGGCYKCCGGTGTCGAGCGAGAGGACGGATATGCATACGAGAGCCACAGGATCCAGGGCGGTGGATACCTGAAACGCGGGGACGACCTGCCACTGATTCGCGGTGCAGAGGCATCGCCAGCAAAGAGCGGCGGCGGCGGCGATTGCAACAGAAATGCCAACAGCGACGGCCTCCTGGCAGACGGATACCTGACGGTATCGGACGACGAAGCCATCTCGGCCGCCCGGGATCTGGCGCGATACGAGGGAATCTTTGGGGGATTTTCGGGCGGGGCCAACCTCGCGGCGGCCGTCAAGCTTCTCCGGCGCCGAGCCTTGGAACGAAGGAACGAATGCATGCAACACCAAAACCGGCCGCCCGGGGACGACGTGGTTGCCATCCTGGTATGCGATTCCGGCCTCAAATACATGTCGACCGATTTGTGGAAACAATGACCGACAGGGGACGCAACGCAAAAGCAGTCGAGAACGAACGATTAGGAATCCAATACCGGATTTCGATTTCGTTCTAGAAAGCGACCATAGGGAATTCAAAAACCGCCCATTGAGGTGGGTTGAGAAAACCCAGGACACATACTACGAGATAGGAGTGTACAGATGCTGAAGAATTCAATCTTKCTTCTTCAAAGGCTTTCGAGCACGGGAATGTCTTAGCACCAATCTTGCTTGAAARCTTTCGGGAGTGGGGCTACTGGTGTTATATGGTGGTGCTGCTTCGAGAACAGTGATTAGAGTTTCAACCCACTGGAGAAAAGAGTCACAACCTGAGAACGATACAATCATGTGGAATATTTTCTGCTGCTGGATGTTATTCCAGAAAAAATCCGGAGATTTGCTGAACGTATAACCCGTATTGTACAATGGATTATACTAGTACAAGATATGGCTGCGTAAGACGGCAAAACCAATCTTTCCTTCATGAGGAGGATACTGGTGACTGGTGGTGAATTTATCATTTAGTTAATTAGTATGATCAAGAAATGGAGTTTTAGTGTGTATTTTTCATGAAAAAAGGTAGCTAGACATCAGTCAATTGAAAAAGTTCTAATTAGTACTACTAGTTTATGGTTTAGTAGCGTTGTTAGCATGCAGTAAAATGAATTGGATGCGAAGGAATATGAGTTTTCGATGCGATGGATGTGCACCCATAAATTATGACCCCTGATTCGTACTACCGGTACTACTACGTACGAAGTACAACGGAAGGGAAGTCAGAAATTTCCCAGACGTGGATTGACGTCTGGCCACAGTACGTCGTTGTCCTTAGGACCCGCACCGCCACCTAAAACTTCCATCAGAGGTGTCGTCAAAATCGCAAGTCCTACCGTACCTCGTACCGTACCGTACGGTACGGTACTCGTGCTCGTAGCTACCGTACGAGCACGACTTTTCTTTCGTTAGCTTTCGTAATGGAAGTGCTGAGCAGAACAAACAAATCAAACGCAAAACTTGAMCCGCTAGACGTCTTCCAAGAAGGAATCCAATCCAATAGAAGCTWCGGAACGGATTTTCTCGATAACCAAGAAGCGATCCTTCCATATCAATCGAAAAAAAAAGGACTACACGAGTCAGCAAACAAGCATGTCGAAAGATCAGCACGATGAGCTCCTCGACAAGATGGACGAGACTCGTAAAAAATGGGCGGCAGAGGCCGCCGAAGCCGGCGAAGAACCCGATGATGGCGATCGATTGCTGCAGGAAGCCATCGACATGGCGATCGCCAACGGAAGGGGATGGGCCCCCGGCGAAAAGGAGGAATACATGAAAAAGATTCTSGACGACGACTACATCCCGCCCATGTTTTGCTCGACGCAGGAAGAGCTCGAGAGAACKGGCCTGGCCGATGCCTTCGGGGCCCTGCAGYACGACGACGATCCGGCCATTACCATGAGGGCCTGCAAGCAGAAGGGGACGAACGCCTTTTTGGACGGGAAACGAAACGTGGCCAAGAACATACAGTACTATCGGGATGCGATCAACCACTACTACGAGGCAGTGGCATGGGCCGGCAAAATAGAACCCATCGAGCACCGCGTCGCACACTCGCGGGAAAAGARCGGAAACGGAAGGGTGACGACCGACGACGAAGGAGAAAGCAAAACAAACMAACAGCAGCAGCGAGAGGAYACCTTCGAAGAATTCACCGAGGCCGAGCTAGACGAATTCAGATCGACCCTTTATTCGAACGCCGCTCTTTGCCACATACTTCTCAAGAACTGGGGACACGCCAAAACGGATTCGACCAAGGCCGTTGCCTTTAACAAGGCCAACATCAAGGCCCTGTTTCGGCTGGCTAAGGCCAACCAGATGTTGAAGGACTGGGAACCGGCCGGGGAGGCCATCGATTCCGGCCTCGACCTGGACCCRGAGAACAAGGACCTGCTCAAGCTGAAGAAGCTCTGCGGCGACAAGATCAGGGCCGCCCGCTTGGCCCGGCAGAAACGCGAGCGGATCCGCAGCGAGCGCGCCTCGGCCATCAAGGCCGTGTGGAAGCACTGCAAGTCMGAGGGCATCAAACTGGGGCGGATCGCCCTGGTGGCCAGCACGACGGACAACCTGGAATACGACGAGGACCTGCTGCTCGACGACGATCGAGACGAGGACGCGGACGCCTTTGAATCACGRTGGCACCACCACTTTCCCCACACCGGGGCCCTGCCGTCGCCGGACGGCGGGATCAACGGCTCGAACCAGCTGTGGACCTGGCCGTGCCTGTTTTTGTACCCCAGCCACTCCCAGTCGGATTTCGTAAAGTGCTTCCACGAGCAGGAACTGCTGGCCGAGCGCATGGCCGAGCTCTACCCCGAGGTCGAAGAAGGCCAGGACACGGCCATGCAGTGGGACTACAAAAACGAGTTTACATGCAGCAACCTGGCCGTCTACTTCGAGGTGAACTGCCCCCCCGAGGCCTACGAAACCAACGCCGTCCTCCACCCCGATCAGGTCGAGCCACTCCAGACCCAGGCGGCTACCATGAAATTCTWCGAAGCCTCCCGGGCACTMAAGGGAGACGAGGGCCCCGACCTGATGCGGGTCGCCGAGCTCGTCGAGCGCAAGCGGCTCCGCAAGCAGCGCACCGCCTGGAAGAAGCGGCACAAAACCCTCGCGGCGAGGCCCGATCCAAGTCCCTGCGTCCGGGTGCACCCGGCCATGCCCCTGGAGGCGATTCTACGGGACGACCGGATGGTCGTGGCGAACTTTCTGGTAACCCTCGTTGTGATTCCGGAAGACCACCCGGCCCACAAAGCCTACCTGAAGGAACACAAGTGCCTGGGGGTGCTGCAGCCCGACCAGTGATCGGGAAAACGGGCGGGCGTGGCCGGGGCACACCGCGGATCTTCCGTCGGATCCATGGTGAAATCATATATAAAAGACCCTAGAAATGCCTATTGCAGAAAATAAGCACACGTGCTGCTTCTCCCGCTACTACCAGGGGACAATCCACCCAAAGCGCAAAGGAATTCATCCACACATCAAGGAAATACATTATTTGCCCACAAATGAAGGAAATACAAGATACTCTTGTGGTTTGGAACCCTTCTAAACAGCAAATTCTTTTGGCACAGCCAAACATAATCACAGAATTAACCTACTAWGGAAGCATTCCAGAACCTAAAATATTGCTCAGACCTCTCCCCCTACCTCAGGTGGACTTGCCACAAGAAATCTATTGGGATTTCCTGGAAAGTTAAGGAAGTACAGACCAAACTTACCCCTCAAAACTGCCCATTCAATATTCTTTTAGTGCCCACTAGCCAGTCATTACTAGTAGGTGCTTTCCTTACTGCTGTTTTGTTGTTACTGGGCACTGAAGGCCTGCAACAGTTATATTGGAAGCTACTATCACTTCTTGTGATGGTAGTAGAATGGTACTATTGAACCGGAAGGACGGAGGGAACTTGAATCTTGTCCTAGCTCTTTTGAGTTTGCATGAAAAAACGGAGAAAGCATGGTCCGTGCAATTGTTACTGGGTTGAAATCAATGATGCGATGGCAAACCAATTCCTTGAGTCTTCGCGTGCTAGTTAAGCTTCAAAAGCTTGCTTTGTCCAGCAACGGTATTCTGGACGTCTCAAAGTTTCCAGTCTCTTATTCAAATTGAAACCATTATTTTCCGTCATACCACCGTCAATATGAGTGATGAAACCAAAAGCACAAGTGGTAAGAATAACAGCGCCACTVTGCGATTCGATGTGGGGGGGACCAATTACAGAGTGTACCGCTCCCTCTTAGAGCAATACCCCGACACAATATTGTCGAGAATGGTATCCGAAACCTGGTTGGACCCCAATAATGGGGGAGAGCTGGAAAAGGCGATATTCATTGACCGCGACGGGGAGCGCTTTCGTTATGTCCTCGATTTTATGAGAGACCCTCGGCAAGTCACTCTACCGGCAACTGTATCTAGGATAGCATTTTTGGCGGATATGGAATATTTTGGGTTTCCGAACGTGGATACCGTTTGCAAGACAGAGTCAACTCTGTGGATGTGCATAGAGTCAACAAAGAAAATGGAAACAAAGGAAGCTCACCTGTTGAAACAAGGTCAGTGTTGCAGCCTTGCTCTCTATTGCTGTTTACGAATAAGGTTATCAGGCAAAATGCGCTTTCGGATTGGATGTAACCATGCAAATATATTCTCCCACCCAGATCACAAATGGTGCAATGATTCGATTCAGAAATTGAAGAAAATAGCAGGATCCCTCTATCATAGCAAGTTCATGCAAGGATCATTCGACCAATGCCTCAAACCTTTTGGAATTCGAATGCAATGCATTGTAAAAGATCCGGACTTCCATTATCACACAATCTACAGGTGCACCTTTCATTCTGCATCCTATTTGTAATTGACGAAGTGTTTCCCCGATTCAAATATTACAGGACGCCAATATCGATAGTTTTGTCACTATCAACCTTTATCATTATCGATACGTTAAGATAATGATCTCCTCCTATAAACCAATTCGCATCAATTTTTATCTATTGTATTTTGTACATAAGGTACATCCACGTGATATTTTTCAAAATCTAGTATTCCGATGACTCCCTTCCATTATTCAAACCAAAAATCTTGACGACTTCGGATTGCTCTTCTCACTAATGCCCGGCACAAATATCATAACAGCGACCTGCACCGTATTTCCGACCATTGGTCCTTCTTCTTCCTTTCTTTCTATATCGTGCATATCTGTTGAACAAGTGCGCAAGTACCGGCGTTGGAAGCAGCATATAACCCAGGTATTCAAAAAGGTGTCGCAACTCCCGCAGATGAGTAGCTTTTTTGGTGTTGTTTGTCCGCAATGYAATGTCTACCTTATCTCGGCATAGATGGTCAGAGCTCCCCTGCACGACCAAACATTTCTCCCTGGCAATGTTTCAGGCCGTGCTTGGCCACCAGTTCGGGGTGGTGGACGACCCAAACATAGACGCAAACCGCGAGGACGCCGAGCAATCCGAGAGAAAGAACGGCGGGGGAGAGCATTACGGACGGCGCACCACGGCCGTTGTTCCCGTTCATTTGCTGCCGCCGGTGATCCGGGCCCTTCTTCTTTATGACGGAGGCAAGGTAGGATGCGTGGAAGATCAGCAGGAGCAACCCGCACGAATCCCGTCCCTCCTCGTGCTCCATAAAGGCCCAGAGCAGTCCGTGGTGGTGCTCTGTCATTTCATCTAGAAGCTTGGGCGCAACYGTGGCGAGCTTGTAGATAATGGCCAGCCCCAGGCCTCCGACGAATCCGTGCAGCGCGAGCACCAACTTTTSCGTCGTGGCGGAGTTGCTGTCGGTTGACGTCGTCATCCAGTACAGATTGGGAACGCATCCGCCAAAGACATAGGCGCAAAACCATTGGACGGGATTCGGATCATTCAGCTGCGCATAGGCACAGGCCGAAAAGAACAGGGCACTGACAATGCAGTACGCATTAATTGCAAAGGCGTCGACGGACGCAATGTCATTGAACACTCCCATTGTAGTTCTGGTACGTTTTTGAGTTCGATTCGAAGTCCGAGACGGCGGAAATGTTTAGATTTAGATTCGCTTGGCTTTCAGAGGTGTAATTGGAATTCCTGTTTGAGTTGGTGATACACTTCTTGGTGTGACTGCGATMTCTGTTGCTGCTKTTGCTGCTATCGGTGCTGTTGATRCGTTTCGTCAGTTGTGTCGGAAGCAATGCGACTGATGAAGTTTTTTTATCGATGATTCTTCGTATCCTTGTCTCTCGTSCCCATTCCCTACCGTGGGAAAAACTCGTACTCGTACTGGGTACTCGCACCMGTCGTACTACTCGTACGTCCGTTCGAAGGTGTTAGTACTGCTTCTACGGGTACAGGCAAATCCCAATGGATCATGCATKTTGATCATCAATTGATCAATTCACGAGTGAGTCGGAGATCGAAGGTCGGAGAAGTTGTCGGAAGTACCGAATCTACYGTAGTACTTCTAATAMGTCGTAYCCAAGATAATGRATGATAATCAAAGCATGTTACAAGTGCATATTCCTATTTTGAAGGGCACAACGGCAAGTCCCATGTATTTTATCATTAAGAGGTTGAGACGACCAGCTACGTACGAGTACTATCTGCTACCACTATTAGAAGGGTACTCGTACTATCGGCTCCCTTTGATTTGTGCAAGACTTGTACTACTACGTGGATGGTAAACAACACCATCTCACTGAARTTAAGGTATGATGCTTCAACGAATATTATTGTTTTCTGTCCCCTTCGTCTTTTTCCCAGGACATCTCCTGCATAGTATGGTACTAAGTTTTAATAGATCATTCTTCTACTGAAACTATACGTGGTTCCGAAACACGAACCAGCTTATCGGAGTCGCCATCGGTTGCGGGAGCGAGGACGGATAGGGCATCAACCAGAAATGTCCGGCTAGGGGCTCCAGTAGCCATGTACCAAAAAATAGGCAAGCAGATCCAGCTCATCATCCTTATGTAGTTGCCCTTTGGTGTTTCTTACTACTAGTGATTGACGAAGTCAGTTTGGTAGAAATCTATTTACGTTTTTTTTTCTTTTGAATTGACCCTCAGCTATCTTTCAAGAAGCTCACGAGAGATTTATGCGACAAACAGAATCGAAACCATAGTTGGGAGCGGTGCTTGCTTATTCCCAGGGAATATCGCGGGAAGCGTACCCAAACATATCAAAATCGGCCTTGAACTCCAAATAGACTTTCTTAGTGACCTTCGCATCGGAGTATACGGCCGTCATCTCGCTTTTGACATTAGTGGCTGTGCTATTTCCCATAGCTAGTTGTTTCCCTCGGATCTTTGACTTTCTCATGGTCCCATACGACGTAGATGTGTCGACGTTGATGGTGCCGTTGGNGATAGGGCATCAACCAGAAATGTCCGGCTAGGGGCTCCAGTAGCCATGTACCAAAAAATAGGCAAGCAGATCCAGCTCATCATCCTTATGTAGTTGCCCTTTGGTGTTTCTTACTACTAGTGATTGACGAAGTCAGTTTGGTAGAAATCTATTTACGTTTTTTTTTCTTTTGAATTGAGCCACAGCTATCTTTCAAGAAGCTCACGAGAGATTTATGCGACAAACAGAATCGAAACCATAGTCGGGAGCGGCGCTTGCTTATTCCCAGGGAATATCGCGGGAAGCGTACCCAAACATATCAAAATCGGCCTTGAACTCCAAATAGACTTTCTTAGTGACCTTCGCATCGGAGTATACGGCCGTCATCTCGCTTTTGACATTAGTGGCTGTGCTATTTCCCATAGCTAGTTGTTTCCCTCGGATCTTTGACTTTCTCATGGTCCCATACGACGTAGATGTGTCGACGTTGATGGTGCCGTTGGYGGAGATCCGCTCCCGATAGGCCTGCGTKAGCGTGTCTAGCCCGCTCCGTTTCTCGATCTCGCGGAGGATCCGCCACAGATCGTCGTCGTAGTGCTCGATCCGCCCAACATAGTCCAAAACGGGGCACCCCCGCTTGTCGGCAAGGARTTTCGACTGCGGGASGTAGTGGGACGTGTGCGTCTCGCTCATTTTGTAGCGSTCATTGTTGCTCGCGAGGGCAAAGGTCCGAAAGTCGATGGGTTCCGGGTGTGTCGTCTCGTTCCTCATTCTCTCGGCCATGGCAAAYCCGCTGTATAGGCGGGCGTAGGGATTGCGGACGAAGGAGAACACATAGTACTTCTTCGCCCTGGACACCCAAATGCCCTTCGAACACGGGACGAGTTCCAGGGTGTCGTCTCCTTCATCGCAGGGAAAGCCCTTGTTGGAACAGAGGGCGTTCTTGAGAAAAAATTTTGTGGTTGTACCCCCACTCTTTAGGTTGTGGACGTAGAGAAATCCGTATTTCTTGGACATCACGCAACTTGCGCCCCCCGAACCAGGGATCTCCATAAACTTGCGAATGTATTTATCTGGAAACCGAATGGCAAAGCCGCGGTTCTTCGTGATGCTAACATCCTTGGACGCTAGAGGGTTACAATAATTGAGCTCGCATTTTTGCAATTCGGTGGAAAGCTTCAAGCAATGGTCCGTGACCGGATCGTAGGCATCGTCGTCGGGGGTCGAGATAGATGTATTGGAGTGCGACTCCACCACCTTGGTAACCGCACTCTTGACCAACAGTACCAGTAGCTGGGAGATTGCAAACACCAAGAGGGCAGTCCGGGGGGAACACCTTCGAAACAGACCGTGATCTTTCTTCAACTTCTCCGATGATGTTGGTGTTGGATCCACCACCGCGTCCGACGGTTTTGCCGACTCTTTTGCTTCGGGCGATTGGCCTCTGGCTCGCATCTGCAGCGTCGAGCTCGACATCGTTTTGGACAATGATAACTGTCACTGCTCTCGATAGATGGTTTGGGTGACGTTCCTTTGTTATTGATCGCGAATGGGTTGGTAGCTCTCTTATCTCAAAGCTGCAGCACTTGGATAGCTTTCGCAACATGTTCTTCCATCAATCCGGCACAAAATTGTTCGCAAAGACCGTCTTAGTTCAGATGGTCATACTGGCATATGTGACTTTTCGGCGAGTATCACTATGCCTCAGGGCCCAGGTTCCTACAAGATGCTGATATCGAATGCATAGTAGAAGTTAAGTGGTAGAAGTACTTGTACTAGTACTTACTCCATACTCGTACCATACATATCCTAATGCTTCGTATTGTACTACCGGCCGATACAGTACTTACGATACTGTACCATGGATAGCGAGCAYCATGTGCGAGGTAGGTAGGTGGGAGGCGAGGAGAGCTCTGACCACCTACGGTACCTCTGTTCCGTAATGTCCAGCTTTCCATATGATACATATGTATGGTATTCGCAAAGCATTGGTACGAAGTAATGTACTTCTACGAAATAGTACTTTATGGTACATTTTGGTTTGTCGGCTGACGGACAGACAAAAACCCAATTAATCAACCAATCAGAAGACTCATTCGTGTACTTTTGTAAGACGTCATTCATGGTCTTTTCCAATCGCATCCTTTCTAATCGACCATGTGTCGAACTTGTGTTAGAGAGATTGTGTGTGTGAAGCCCTAAATTAAACCCAARAAGAAGAAACAAAAAGTTGTTTCTGACACCATGAGAACAGAGGGAAAATAGAAGATAGCCTTTTACTGCATAACGATACATTTGGGAGCAAAAAGAAAGAGTTCATGTGTCTGAATCCACAAGTCTAGGTTTAATAAGACACACATTGATTTGATTGGATTGGGCAAAAAATCCAAGAGAGCAATTCGTGTCATATCGGAAAAACTGGTTGCGATTCCACCATGAGACGATCGACATCAACATCACAGCGCCTGATAATGGCGTTTCAAGCGATCTTAGCTRTGATACTGTTGTGCTCGTCTTGTGACCCTGGGTATTTCTTTGTCTCCTCCTGGAGCTCCGACTATYCGAATCATCATCATCGTCAAAGACATGTCAGATCCCCTAAGCCGGGCTCAGCGACAACCAGGAAACGACYTACTCAATCGCCATCACCGAAACTTAGAACCGTAGCAGATATAGCATTGCCACTTTCAACAACCTCAGCTGCAGAGGGTAAAAGCCCGAATTCGAAGCCCAGGAACAAAAAAAATAGAGTGAAACGCAGAAACAAACAAAACGGAAACCCAAAACAGAAGAAGAGAGGAACCCCGGATTCTTCAAGGCGACGGAAAGGACAGCAAAAGCCAAACAACGAACGTAACAACAACAGTCGCAGAAGAAATGGGCCAATTGCACAGGCAAAAACAGTCAGCGAACTGGTCCAAAACGTTCGGGCCACCATGGCAGCCAAAAATCCAAGTGGCAGGGGAACGAATTGGAGAGCCGCGTGGTCAATGCTCAAAAGCGAGGCTACCATTCCCCACCACACTGTCCTTTCTTCATCTAGTGATGCCGACGAGGAACATATAACAGTACTGCCAACCCGTGTTTACAATGAGCTCCTTCTGTGCATGGAAAAAGAGCCCAGGTGCTGGCAGGATGCCATTCGGCTTGCTCAATATATGGAAAGCGGAGGCAATGACGAGGGCGAGGAAGTCACTACAGCCTCCAAGACAGAGAATGCCGCCGTTGACAAGTACAACAGCCGGCCCTGGTACATACCCTCACCGAACTACGAGATCTACMACACAGTCATCGAATGCTGTTGCCACAACGGTGGGGGACGAAAAGACGCGCACGATGCCTCCGTCTATTGGCTCACGAAAATGCTGAAAAAACTGGAAGTAGACGTGACAGAACTCAAGCAACAAGTAAATGACAAGGCAGATAAAGCCTCCACAACCATAACGAATCGCGACCGAAAGCTCGTCCGCAACTCGATCCAACTAGTGCTTAGCTCCCTCTCGAAACAGCGCAAGTGGAGGGAGGCCCTACAGCTTTTGGATTACACCGAGATCCTTTCCAAACCGGACGGGGCCAACGTTCCGCTGACGGTCGTGCAATACAATACGGTGCTGACCTGTTTGGCCCGCTCGCGACAAGCTGGACAGTGCCAGCGACTGCTGCAGCGACTGCAGTCCAAGTTCAAGGACCAACCGAGCAGCGGTCTACAGCCCGACGAGATTTCGTACAACGCCGCTATCAGCGCCTGTGCCTCGGCCGGGAAGTGGAAGGAAGCCCTCCGGGTGCTCGACGAGTGCTACGACGAACCGGGCGTTGAACCCAACATCTAYATTTACACCAATGCAATGAGGGCCTGTGCCAAGGGTGGGAACACTCAGCGGGCCCTTGAACTGCTAGAAATCGTCAAGGACAAGGGYCTCCCCGTCGATAGCTATTGTTACACGGCCGTGATCGACGGTACGCTTTACTTTGAGTGTTTTTGACGAGGGTGGTGTGCAGTAAAAAAGTTCTGAGTGGTATTTTTCTCACCATAATTTTTGCTTTCATTCACCTATCCCAACCTACAAACCAACTAATCGATTCACAACAACAGCCTGCGCCAAGGGAAAACAATGGGTRAAGGCATTGGAACTCTTTGACGAAATGGAAGAAAAAGGGATCGAACCTACGCAGGTTACGTACAGTGTGACGATCTCAGCTTTGGGGAATGGCCTACAGTGGAAACGGGCGTTGTGGTTGTTGAATCTCATGAGAGAAAAGGGAATGAAAGTAAACTTGATTACATACAATGCTGGTGAGTGTTTTGTTCTGACAAATGATGATTTGTGAACCACGTGCAGGGAAGCTRGATCGTTCGTTGAATGATTGAGAGTTGTCATTTTCACGCATCTAATCCGGTATAAAATTTTTGACGGTCTTCCTTCATTGACATGCAGCTATCACCGCCCTCGCAAAGTCTTCGAAAAACCGACACTCGGCAAAGCTTTTGCCATCGGCTTCCGACAAGAATGCAAACGGAGATGACACACACGAGGACGAAGAACTGTGGACAAAGGCCATGGACTTGCTGAAACAAATGAGTGAGGACGGAATCGAACCGGATGGATTTTGTTATTCGTCCGCCATCAACTGCTGTGGTGCGGAAGGACGATGGGAAGAAGCCTGCCAACTCATCGAAACGATGAAGAACGGGGGGCCGAAAAGTCGACCTAACAAGGTTGCCTATACAGCCGCAATCAGTAAGTGATGGCTGAAACGATGCCGGGCGCAATCCTTTTTCCTTTTAGGAAGTATTCTTGACAAATCTTGTCACTCACTTGTCTTCCGTTTTCCAAAACGCCGTGTTTCTTCTCTTCTCGATTTCAGGTGCCTGTGGGCGAGCAGGTCAAGCAACGAAGGCACTTGAACTTTTTCAAAATATGAGCGACGATGGACTGGCTGCTGATCGTGTTGCATACAATGCTCTATTTTCGGCATTGCGTGTATCCGAAGACCCCGACAAGGTGAGTAGAAAAATAATTGTTGAAAGACGTCATCAAATTGAACTTGAAGTTGGCATTAGTTGGCATGCAACGTCAATAGTCGGAGAGTTTCTAAGTTGGATAAACTAAATCTTGTTGTGATTCGTTCATTTATCTCAGGCTTATGAACTTTGGGGAGAAATCTGTGGCACTCGATCCACGGAGAGCTCCTCAATAGCGACCGCCAGAAACGTTGCATCCCCAGATATCATCACTCTCACGGATTGCATCGCAACATTGTCACGAGCTGGATACACCAGCAAAATGGATGAAGTTTTTCGAGAAGCGGTCGAGCAGGGCATTGTTCTAGGTAGCAACGAGCTAGATGAACAATGGGAAATGGATTTATCTGGACTACCGTTCCCGATTGCGCGAGCCGCTACTCGGTATTTACTGCAAATCAATAGGCACAGCAGTAATCCGCAGGATATGGTATTCATCACAGGAATCGGAAAAGCACAGCAAAAGCGAAAAGAAGAGACAGATAAGAATGCGATAGAGACAACCTCAAACAATGTACTGGACCGGAAGGACAGAACAACATCCCTTCGCGATTTCATCCAAGGGATCCTCGAAACAGATTTCAATCCTCCCCTGGAATCCGTTGTTCCGCATCGCGCCCAGGGAACTGTTGTGATAGAAAAAGAAACCCTCGCTCGTTGGTTAGAGGATCAGAAGGGACAAATTGCTACGAAATAATAAAAAGGAAAATGAATACAATAACAGTTTTGAACAAACCATGTTGAACTGCCTTAAGCACTTGAAACATATGTGTACAGCGTTTCCCCCACTTTGTTGCAGTGAAGCAAACATGACCTTCAGATAAATTGAAATTTCGCCATCCAATGGCATGGTAAAAAAGCAAGATCCACACTTTGTCAATAGGATGCAGGAGTTCTATGCTAATGATTTCTTGCCTCTAGTTGTCGCTCCCCTTTCTGGTTAATACGACTAATTGCCTTTTTGTGTTTTACATTATTAAGGATTTGTAGCTATTCTTGGACGATTCCTTCCTTAATTTTGCTTTGTGATAATATTCCTTTATTAGGCCGCGTAATACTTCAAAATTCGTTAAATTTTGAGGTCAAGATTTTTGTTTTGTGACTACATTTTGCTTTTCTCGGAAGAGTATTTTACTGGCAGGTACGGTACAAGTACCGTACATACGTAGTCGAGATAGGGGGCAGACATACATCTATTGCACGTGATTCCAGTCCCCATTACAATCTTATTTATTGATGTACGGTACAGACATCAGCCTAGTATGATTAATAGTACGAGTATGCACCACATTCTACCGTACCTACGTCTATGCAAAGTGGACAAACGAACGCCGCCTTCGCCTAACTGTACTAGAGCTATTAATGGTAAGTCCCGTACTGGCAAGTTATTGGCAATTCCGAACCTTTAGGGCCGGCTGGCTTGCCTGCCATGCGCATGTAAACCCTGTACATTCAGTACTGCAGTACTAATTATATGTAATCTACGTACATATTTTTATACAGYGAATCAGTACTGATGCACCTCCATCCAATGCTGCACCTCCACCGTCGAAAAATACGGAACAAACACATCAAATCGCCTCCTCCGGAAGCAAAACAACAAAAACGCCGCAAGCGTTCATTCATACTCAAGCGAAACGGCTGTTAACAGTCTCATGCTCAAGGAACYGGCGTGCAGACGCTTCAATACACAAGGAACTGGTGTGCGGACGCTTCGATACTCAAG